GTGTTAATTCATGATGATCGATGCTGGCGGTCCTGTAGCGTTGCTCGTTTAGTAGGCAATTGAACATGTCATGCCGGCGTGAGTTTATTCCGTATGGTCATCTGTGGTTTGATGACTTCCTCCCGCTACTTCCTTGTTTCTGCATGACAAATGTGTCCCTGCTTATTTTCGTATCGCCAATGAAAACCTTAATGGTCACACTTTCCCTGGGTGTTTCTTTTCGTCTCGTCAGTAAATTCAAATAAGTGAACGATTGCCCCTTATGGTAATGTTAAGATTCGTCTAGACAACGCCCTCTAGGCACCTGGTGTTTCTGCTTCATCAGCGGGGCGAAGGTTGCCGCATGACGTCATGCCTCGATGACCGAGGCCACCTGGTCATCCACCTGACCTGGTCCACCGATAACGGCGCCATAAACCCATCTGTTGGTGTGGTGCTCGTTACATCCGCGTATTTCCCTGTATGTCTTGTTCTATGACGTCACGTCACTGCCGTTTGGTCATGCTCTGTGTCAGTTCGCAACCCCAGCGTTACCCCCCGCCATGTTTCTGCGTCACTGTTACCCGCTGTTTGTTGCCTCTTGTTGCCCGCTGTTTGTTGCTCATTGTTGCCCGCTGTTTTTGCCTCGCTGTTGCCTGCTGTTTGTTGTCTCACTGCTCTGCCCGCAGTTTGCTGCCTCACACTGTTGTCCGCTGTTTGTTGTCTCATTGTTGTCCGCTGTTTGTTGCCTCACTGTCCCGCTGTTGCTGCTTCGCTGTGCCCGCTGTTATTTGCCTCGCCGTTGCTCGCCGTTTGTTGCCTCACTTGCCCGCTGTTGTTGCCTCACTGTTGCCCGCTGTTTGTTGCCTCACTGTCGCCCGCTGTTTGGTGCTTCACTGGTGCCCGCTGTTTGTTGCTTCACTGGTGCCCGCTGTTGTTGCCACACCGTTGTCCGCCGTTTGTTGCCACAACCGTTGTCCGCCGTTTGTTGCCACATTGTTTCCCGCTATTTGTTGCCACATCGTTGTCCGCTGTTTGTTGCCACATTGTTTCCCGCTGTTGTTGCCACACCGCTGTCCGCTGTTTGTTGTTACTGTTTCCGCTGTTGGTTGCCACATTGTTGCCCGCTTGTCGCCCGCCGTTGTCGTCGTTACCCGCTGTTTCCGGCTGGCTGCCCCGCTGTGACGCCAGTGTATGGTGTAACCCAGGGCCAAGCACCGACTACACCACGTGGTCATCTGCGGGTCTCAGACGTTCGTGCAGTTCCACTACAAGACCGCCAACGGTCCCGGCCCAGCCTGGCTCGCCTCCAGCGGCGGTGAGTCGGCCCTCTGTTGTTCAACCACAAGGGGGGACGGGGGAGGGCTCAGCTAACCGGCCGCCGGCGGGAGGGCGGCGCGCCTCGGGTCATTGTGCGTTCTCGTTGATAACCAGTTGAATGGCTGGTAATTTGTGGCAGCATTGGTATATAAAAAGAACCGTAGCATGACATACCGAAAGAATTGAGATAAATATTCGAAGAGGAGCTGCAGATATTTGCGCAGCACCAGCTTTTCCCCCCAGTGGTGTTGATTGAGGTTTTTACCGAGAAAGCCATGTGAAGTGTAGTTTAATGCCCAGTGTGTCTTTTGACTAGCAATCGATGCCGTACTATTTTACATCCGGTAGATTCTCCCGAAGGGGTTTCCCCTCATGTTCTGGAATAAAAGCCTTGTGCTGGAACAGCGCGCGGCCGCCGCCCGTACAACTGGCTCACTAGCGCTGTGCGCCGCGCGCCACCAGAGGTCGCCAATGGGCAGGAAGAAGCGGGGGGCCGCTCGCAAAGGCCGAGGGCTGGCCGACCGGAGCCACCGGGCCGCCACTGTGGGGTCCCCGGCGGCCGCGCACGCGCAGCAGCTCTCCGGTGTCGACGCAGGACTTCGCCGGAGCCGGGCGGGCCGGCGAGGCGTGTCGAGTCGCGGCCCGACTCGGCCGCTCGGTGGCCACCCAGACCTCGCCCGACGGCCGACTCACGGTCAGCAGGTGAGCAGCCGACCCGACCGCTCCGGTAGTGGGTGTGCGTGCCATTGACTAGGCGTGTGCACGCAGGCAGGCGTGCTGCGTACTGCGCGCCCAGACGTTTGCTCCAGGCAAGCGCAAAACTGCTCATATCCCAGGATTTAAGAACGGCTGTTGGCTTGGTCGTGGTTGTTTAGGCTGTTGGGTCAGAGCCCCTCATCAAGGTCATAATCATTGTAGGGCTTTGGGATGAACGTGAGTGGATAACGGCATGTTCTCCCTCTGAAGCTTGAATCATTCCAGCCTTCCTGCATTGAAGGGTGCCTTGCTAACTTGGAAACCCTCGAGGTCCTCTATTTTTTGGGCCAGGGTCTTTTCCAGCGTCGGCCATTGTCACTAAGTGAGACTTCTTTTGCAGCTTGGAGAGCTCCCCAAGTACCGACGCGTCCCCCCGTCCTACTGACCGAGCATCAGCACCTCGCCACGACCAATCTTCAACCAAAGGTTCTCTGGTCATCCGACAGGCGGCGGTGGCGGCGGGCAGTTCGGATCGCGCGGGGTGAGACTCTTCAGACGATCTACGTCATTTACTATGAAATAGCTTTGTTTGTTTAGCTGTTAGTACTGATGGATGCCTACTGATTTGCTGTCTGTTACTGGACTTAGCTAGCATGGCATACATTGTGTGGAAAATCTTAGACTACCGAAGTTGAACATTGGGTTTAATCTCTTCTATTGGATTTGCAAGCATGTTTGAGCCTTTTTTGGGTGCCGACAGCTTGTCGTTAGCCTCGTATGAACGTAACATTATAGCATCCGAGAATGAGCCATGCTCATCTCTTTTGTGTACTGGGTAAATATTGCCCGAGTCAAGGTGCAAAAATTGTCGGAAGTCAGTACAGAAAACAGATTAGTTATGCTCCATATGCATGAATAAAACATCTTGCCTTTGATATCTTTTTATCGGCCGTTTGCTTACACGGTCTGTGAGGGGAACGTGGTACATTTGTAGTGTAGTGTGATTTTGGATGGCCATGTTTTTTACAAACCATGCTTAGTGATGACCCTAAGGCTGCAGCTGCAAGTAGTAATTTTAAGTTTCGAAAATGTAAGGTTGAGTGCTGTGGAGCGTATCAAAGTGTTCAGTGAGTCCAAATAATGTAACATTTAAAGTCGTGAAGTGTAGCTCTGTTGCGCGCGAAATGCATTCCCGGCCGGCTTGTGCACTGATTGGTCATCCTCCCAATAACCCGTCTATAAATTCGCCGATCTGTCCGTGATAAGTGCGACTATTGGCCGCCTCTCCGCCTGCCGTATGCTGATTTTGCCGACCCGCCGCCGGCCGCGCGCTGATTTGACCGACCCGCCGCCGGCCACGCGTTGATTGGCCGCCTCTCCGCCGGCCCCACGCTGATTGGCCGCCTCTCCGCCGGCCGCGCGCTGATTGGCCACCGTCTGTCCCGGCAGGCGGCCGCGCCGACCCGGCGGCGGTAGCGCGGCCTCCGACGCCGGGCGCGCGCGCAGTGCCGGGCCGCCCCTCCAGCGGCGGCGGTGGGCGCGCTCGCAGCGGCTCGCCTGCCGTGGGCGGGCCGGGCGGCCTGGACGGGCCCGTCGAGCTGACCGTGACCAACCTGGATGCCAGCCGCCACCCACGCGACGCCGAGAAGGTCCTCTACGACCTGGCCATCCGTCACGCTAAGGTACGCTCCGCCGGCGGCGGTCGGGGCAGGTGGTGCTGCTAGCACTGGTGCCTCTGCGCTGAGGTGAACAGCGGAGTGTCTCAGAACCGTGGCAGAGCTGTTGTCTGTCAAGGCGCGTCGCGACGTCCGAATCGTTTTCTGGCCAACACCCTATTGTGTGATCGCTGAGCCGTCGTGTGACGTTAATGTTAACACAGAGCTCGATCTCGGCTGTGTCCCTGTGCTGTGTGCGGTAGCATGGCTTCAGACTGTGCGTAACCGTCCATCCGTACGTAAAGTAGCGGCGTGCTGATGTCTTCTACAGTCTCTTGAACGTCATCCCCGCACGGGTGGACGGCGTATATATGTCCTGTGCGTACAGTCTTTGACGCATGGACCCAGCTCATACGAACGGCTGGCTCTACTCTCTCTGACGCGTCACCCCTGGCCGAGTGGGCGGCTGGTCGTTTTAGTGTCTCGCACAGTGTTTGGCACATGACCCATGCCTGCACGTGCGCCGTATCGGTATCCCGCACAACCTCTGACCCGCCGCCTCCGCACGGCTGGGGGACGCGTCCGTGTCCAGTCCAGTCTCTGACACCCTGTCCGGCGCAGGTGGAGAGCGTCTCGGTGTACTGCCAGTCGGACGGCTCGCTGGTGGGCACCATCTCGGTGCCGACGCTGTACGACTCGCAGGCGCTGATCGCTGAGATGCACCGCGCCGTGGTGGGCACCAAGCGCATCATGCTGGCGTACGCCCGCACCGACCGTCCCGACCCGTACAAGATACGGTACGACCTCCCCCGCCTCCCCCTCCGGGAAGGTCGAAACCTCCGGCTGGTTACCCGGAGAGCGGGCAGTGTGGGCAGACAACGACATGGTCGCGTGTGCGTGCGTGCGTGCGTGTGTGCGTGTGTGCGTGTGCGTGTGCGTGTGGATGTGGATGTGTGTCTGCGTGTATGTGTGTGTGTGCGTGTGCGTGTGGATGTGTGTGTGCGTGTGGATGTGGATGTATGATGTGTGACGTGTGTGTGTTATGTGGACGGCCTGGTTTCGACAAGAGAGGCCCTGTGTTGATTGGGTGGCTACAGCCCACGACTCGTGTCCTGGTCGGTCGCGCCCGCTGTGATTGGTTAAATGCTCCGAGGTCTTATGACGATTTGGCGGCTATGTCCGCTGGTTGGCCGCTTGATCTGCAACGCGCCCTCCGATTGGCGGCGGTGTTTGTGACGCGCCCTCCGATTGGCGGCCTGCGGTCAGGACGCAGGTGATTCGGCTGCTGAACGACGTGCCATCGGGCCAGCTGCCGCTGGTGAAGTTCATGGAGCTGTACGAGCAGCGCTTCCACAACACCGTCTCCATCGCCGACCTGTTCAGGTCAGCGTCGCTGGGCGCGGCGTCTGCCGGCCCGCCGGCGGCACCGGTCTCCGCCTCGATGCCGTTACGACCCCGGCTGTCGGGCCTGCCCCAGCTGCTCGATGTTTACGAGGCTGGGGTGGCTGCCCGCCAAGCTCCGCCGTGCAGTGCAGCTTTTGGATTCACTAGTATTGCGTCGTTTACGAGGCAACCTTTTAGTTCGTTTTTTTGTGCGGGTTAAGTTTAAGTGTCTTTCGTGACACTTCAATTCCATTTGCATTTTGTCTCGGTAGTCTCTATGTATGCCCTGTTCTTCCGCATCGTATCATGCCTCAGTCTGGATGCTGGCATCACGCCATAGTCGCTGAGATCCCGTGGAATGGTTCGTGCCAGCTTGCGGTGCGGTCTCTTAAGCAGATGTTCATAACATTGGGTATGCTATCTCTCACGCGCACTGTATCAGCTTGCGTAACAATATCGAGCTTACTGACCTGTCGGTGTCTCAGTATCGCAGCTATGCATTGTTTGCATTTCCCAAAGCAGTTTTTTGTGATCGAACCACCAACGAGTACTTGTTTTACAAAAATGCTCAGAGTCCTGTTTCTTTACTGTCCGAAATTGGCTGCCACCGGCTATTTTAGCTGTGAACGCGCTCGATTCCTTTCTCTCTCTTCGATCGGCGATAGCTAGCATCCCTGCGCATGGGCGCGTGCTTTCTCCACTCTGCTCAACTCGTGCTCGTAGTCTAACGCGCACTCGGTGCGACCAAGCTCCTAACGCTACCGGCGCGGTGAGCTTTCGTTCCTTTCCTGCAGTACACCGGGTCGGTCTGCTGTGCTGCATAACATACCTCGTAGCATAACGCTTCTTCATGCATTTTCATGCATTTCGGTTAGGTTTCCTGCACTACACCGGGTCGGTTGCTGTGCAGCATAACATGCCTTGCAGCATAACGCTTCTTCATGCATTCGGTTTTCTGGTGGCGGGCGTTTCTCACCTGCTGCCTTTGTTGCCTTCGGTGCGGACGGCGTTCGCGTATCCTAGAGCGGCACAGACTGCCCCCCGGGGCGGGCAGTGCTACTTGACCACGCTGGCCGCCTGCTGGCTGCTCCGTGGATCTACGCTCGCCTCCCCGGGGGTGTGCGGGTCTGCGCTGGTCTCCCGGGAGGCTGGCACGGACCCGACAGCTCCTCAGCGTAGTGGTCCCGCCCGCTCGGCCTGGCGCTTCTAACATCGCCGCGGGTGGTCCATTGGCTTCGGGGTGTGGTCGCCTTGCCGCACAGCTGCCGCTGGTGGCGGCGCCGCCGGACGGTCCGTTGCCAGCCGCTCTTTGGGAGGGGGGGGGGGGGGGCGACGTCGTGCCGCTCCGTGTCGTCTGTGTTCTACGGCCGCTCACGCCCTGTGCGCGCCAGTGTTTGTTTGGCGATGTTGAAAGCTCGCTCTGCCCCATATACCTCGGTCCGAGGGTTCCTTCGGCTTCTTTGCACCTTTTCGCGCTGGCTCGGCGTCTGGATCTGGGCCTTGTATGGCGCCCTCAGGAATGACAGCTGACGGCGCAGTGTGCGGGCGGGCCTTTTGTCGCGAGCTGCCTCTCGTCACTTTTCGTTGCCTGCCCGTATGCACCCATGCATGCATGTAACGTGTTGACCATGTTGTGAAATTAAGGAGACGTCAACATGCCAGCGGTATTACGTGGGACGTATGGGAAGTACCGTAGATGTCGCTATCCCCGCTAACTATCCCAGTCGTGGTGGCTTGTTGCCGCATGCGTTCTCGCGTCCAGAACGAATCAAATCTAAGACATAGCGCCGGATCTCTGCGTGAAGGCTCCCGCGTCGGCGTTGCCATGGCGGCGGGCTGTGCCGCGGACTCCACCAGCCTGTGCGTGACCCGGAGCCGGGCCGGCGGGCTGCAGGTGCCGGCCGGCGCCGCCCGGTCTGCGCTGTGTGGGCCGCGGGCCGCCGGCGCCGCCCCCTCAGCGGCCCCGCCCCTCAGCGGCCCCGCTGTGCCGCAGGATGCGCGAGACTGTGACGGTGGTGGACAGCAGCAGCGGACGCGTTATCCAGCTGAACCCGATGCTGAAGACCCAGGACCACGTGAGTGCCACCACTGCTCCGTGCTGTGCTGGGCGACGCTCTGCCCAGCCGGTTGTTGCGTATGAGCGCTGTGGCTCGTATCCAGTGTCAATTACCCGATGACTCACCATGAAGGTTTTGGTGTCTCTGCGAGCTATGGTGCCTGTCAGAGCTGTTGATGCACCTGGCATCGTGCGGATGTGCGGGTATGACTTGCTGTCAACGCTTTTTTTGCATAGTTGCAGGGCAATTTACTTGATAAATCGCAGACATGGCGGCTTTATGAATCAGTAAGCTTCTTGTGATGCCATGCGCTCAAAATTGAACAAACTTCCGGAAGTGTTTTGCTTTTTGAACATGATATTGCCGAAGATTTACATTTATTGGCAGCATTCGGCAGTTGAGATTTTGGCTTCCTGTTCCTATGTGCAGTTCACCTGTACTTGACTTTGAAAAACCCGAAGCTCTCATGATAACGCCAAATTCAGCTGCCCACATGACGTCCCAATGTCTGATGTGATGTCGTGCTGCGAGCCCGAGAGTTCGCACACACGCACGCACGCACGCACGCCGGCAGGGCTGCGGCGTCCGACCGCCGGCCGCCTCGGCGTGCGCGCGCCACCCGCCTCAGCGCGGCGCCACCGTCGGCTGGGCGGAGCTCGACGACCCCAGCGTGCTGCCCAACAGCGACGTGGCGCTGGAGGAGCTGGAGCGCGTGGTGCGCCACCTTCTGGAGACACACGACGGCCTGCTTCATCTCTCCAGGTGGGTGTCGGCCCGCTCCTGGTGTACAGGACCTGGCCAGGGGGCGTGACGCCTCTCTGGGATTAGGGACATCTCTAGGTGACGATGTGGCCGCTCAGTGGTATAGGACCTGTCTAGGTGGGAAAGTCCTGTGCTGTAAGGGCGGTAAGGTCGTTGGTACGGTGCCGTTCGCTGTGGGCATGCGCCGCTCTAGGGCACACCACGCGTTTCCGTACGGCCACCTGACTCTCCAGGCTGGTGCGAGATCTCCCTGAGTTGACCAGCCCCATCAGCTGGACGAATGGCTGTGTACCCGTGCCCGTCTCGCACGCGCCAGTTGGGACCTTGGCACCACCTACGTGCTGTGTCAGAACACAGCGCGGCACGTGCGCTCGGAGCCACACCCACGTGTCTGGCTCTGACTAGCTGCCGCGTGTCTGACTGACCCGGCAGCCTGCTGGACTGTGACGTGCCTGCCTGACCCGACAGCCTGCTGGACTGTGACGTGTCTGACTGACCCGGCAGCCTGCTGGACTGTGACTTGTCTGACTGACCTGGCAGCCTACTGGAATGTGACGTGCCTGTCCCGGCAGCCTGCCGGACTGCGACGTGTCTGACTGACCCGGCAGCCTGCTGGACTGTGACGTGTCTGACTGACCCGGCAGCCTGCTGGACTGTGACTTGTCTGACTGACCTGGCAGCCTGCTGGACTGTGACGTGTCTGACCCGGCAGCCTGCTGGACTGTGACGTGCCTGACTGACCCGGCAGCCTGCTGGAATGTGACGTGTGTGCCTGACCCGGCAGCCTGCTGGACTGTGACGTGTCTGACTGACCCAGCAGCCTGCAGGACTGTGACGTGTCTGACCCGGCAGCCTGCTGGACTGTGACGTGTCTGACCCGGCAGCCTGCTGGACTGTGACGTGCCTGACCCGACAGCCAACTGGACTGTGACGTGTCTGACCCGGCAGCCTGCTGGACTGTGACGTGTCTGACCCGGCAGCCTGCTGGACTGTGACGTGTCTGACCAGGCAGCCTGCTGGACTGTGACGTGTCTGACCCGGCAGCCTGCTGGACTGTGACGTGCCTGCCTGACCCGGCAGCCTGCTGGACTGTTACGCGGCCGAGTTCCACGACCCGGCGCTGGCGCGGCTGCGGCTGGACCCGGCCGCCGTCTGCCTGGAGCACCTCATCACCTGCCTGGCCGACGTGCGCGTGGTGACGCGCGGCCAGGACAAGCTGGTGGTCTGGGCACGTGACTCGCCCGAGGGTGAGTGGCGCTCCGCGGCCCGCAGGCAGCGGCCTAGCGAGGGGATGGGCTGGGAGCGGCAGACGCGGTATGGGCGGGACGAAGTTGTCTGAAGCTGTCTCGGTCCGGCCTGAGACCTCTGGTTCTGTCGTGGTTCAGGTTTGGCTTCTGTGAGCGCAAAGCTATCGTAGCAGCGCGCTGTATTTTGGAGTACCCCGTGGTTACCACCCCAGTCGCGGTGGTGGTTCATAGTTCAGACTGGGACTGGTCGTGGCCGTGTCATGCTACGACGGCAGAGACGAAGAAGGCGGAAGCAGAGACGAGGGCAGGCGATGGCGGGAGAGGTCTTGGATGGCTGATCGGCGGCCCGGTCTGGTGTAGTCACGTCGCGCCGGCCCCGCCGTCGGCTGCCGTCGGCTGCCGTCGGCTCCTCTGACGGCGCGCGGCGCCCGTGCCCCGCAGACGAGCCGGCCCCGGTGAACCCCAGCCTGCAGCAGAAGGTGGTGCTGTTCTCGCGCGAGGTGGTGGACCTCCTGCGGGCGGCGCCGCGAGCCCGCATGCCCTTCAACAGGTGCGTCGGCTACCGAACCGTCCCGCTGGAGGCAGTCCCGTGCTTCGAAGGCAGGCCTGTTTAATGTTGGTCGGGCGTGTGGGAGCACGACAAAAGTGTGCGGTCAGCCGTTTGTTGGTCTAAAAGAGCAACTATTAAATGACAGATGGTTGCAAACCGCTTAAATATTGACTCTTGGTGGTGTAGAGTTCATGAATGCCGGGCTCTTTTCATGGAGTTCACCAGAACGGTCAAACAGAATTGAAAAACGGTCACGGAGTGGACGCATGCGGCCGCACAATACACTCATTCCTCTGTGCATTTATGTGAACTTGAGTATCGCGCATCCGACATGGCGTTCGTCATCATCTCCAGCAAGCTCTGGCGCATCGCTAACGGCATGGCGTCCTCGACCTCCTTTTCAGGTTCATCCCAGCGTACCACCATCACTTCGGTCGGCAGTGCCGCGTCTCCGACTACGGGTTCACCAGGCTGGCCGACCTGTTCGACGTGTTGCCGCAGATCGTGCAGGTGGGCCACGCTGTGCCGCGCCGGGGTCCTGCGGCAGCGGCGCCGGGGGGTGGGTCACTGCCGGACTTTAGCTCTGACCTCTCGGCGTCGGGTGTTGTGCCGAACCTTGACCTGGTGCTGTGCGGACCGCCGCTGGGTAACTGTATTGGTCACCTGGCACTAGGCTGTATGTATCTCCCGCTCCTCCGTAAGTACTGGGTTGGCCCCTGACCAACAAGTTGTTCTCCCCTCTGACACTGCTGCACTGGCCTCCCCTGTCCCCAGGTGCTGTGCTCTCCCCTCACGCTGCTGTTCTGACCTCCCACTGTCCCCAGGTGCCGTGCTCTCCCCTCGCACGGCTGTACTGACCTCCCCTTGTTTCCAGGTGCTGTACTGCCTCTCCCCTGACACCGCTGTTCTGACCTCCCACTGTCCCCAGGTGCCGTGCTCTCCCCTCGCACGGCTGTACTGACCTCCCCTTGTTTCCAGGTGCTGTACTGTCTCTCCCCTGACACCGCTGTTCTGACCTCCCACTGTCCCCAGGTGTTGTGCTCTCCCCTCGCTATGCTGTACTGATCTCCCCCTGTCCCCAGGTGCTGTACTCTCCCGTGACACCGCTGTTCTGACCTCCCCTCTCCCCCGGTGCTGTACTGTCCCCTCGCACTGCTGTATTGACTTCCCTTGTCCCCTGATACTGTGCTGTCTTCTCGCACTGTAGCACTTGCCTCCCCTGTCCCCAGGTGCTGTGCTCCTGGGGACAGGGGAGGCAAGTGCTACAGTGCGAGTGCAAGTGCTCCCTCGCCCTGCTGTACTGACCCCCCCCCCCCTGTCCTCAGGTGCTGTACTTTCCTCTGACACCGCTGTTATGACCTCCCGTGTCACCAGGTGCTGGGCTGTCTCTCCCCTGACACCGCTGTTATGACCTCCCGTGTCACCAGGTGCTGGGCTGTCTCTCCCCTGACACCGCTGTTATGACCTCCCGTGTCACCAGGTGCTGTTCTGTCCCTTCACACTGCTATACTGACCTCCACCCCCGTTCCCAGGTGCTGGGCTGCGGTCACCGTCGCGTCATCACGCTGACGCCGCGCGCCCAGGAGCGCCGCTTCCTCTCGGACCTGCTGCGCGTGCTGAAGGCGCAGCACTCGAAGCAGCTGGCCGTGACGGCCCTGCCGCAGGCCTTCTCCGAGGTCACCGGCCGCGAGTTCACCGTCTGGGACTACGGCGCCACGCGGCTGCACACGCTCCTCTCGACCGTCAACGGTGGGTGACGCGAGCGCTGCCGGGCGCGGCGGACGGCGCGGCACGGGTCCCCGCACCGGCCACGCTCTCGTGACAGCGCGGGATGGCACGCCATTGGGTGACGTGTCACTGAGTGATACGTAACTGGGTGTTATGTCACTGGGTGACGCGTCACTGGGTGATACGTCACTGCGTGACGCGTCACTGGGTGACTCATCACTGGGCGGTGGATACGCTGTTCTCCGCGGTATGGGCGGCGCGTCACTAGTGGTTCATTGGGCACGTTTGCTGCTCGCTGTTGCGGTGTGAAGGCAGTCGTCTTTGTGGTGATTTCGTGTGACACTTCACGTCTCCGTGTTGTCGCGTGTCCCACTTAGAAGTGTCTGTGGAACCTCTTTTCCTTGTGTGCAAACAATCTGCTCTTTCGTTTGTATGTTAAAGCGTCCGTTCTTTTGTTGCGCGAAGGTAACCCTTTTCCCCTCAAAAGCTGTGGGTCCTGCCTGCGTGCTCTGGGGCCGTTTCTCCTGCAACGAAAGCTCTTACAATCACGTGCTTAGTTGTCTGGATATTTCGATGGCAACATTTCCCAGCACAACTCGCCTTGATGGGCGATCTTGGCGAAGTTCCCTCGGGCAGTGCCAGTCACCGGTTATCGGTACGGTGAGCGGTTTAGCTGTTTCTTACATTACATAATGTCCGATCTCGTGCGTTTTCGTGCGGCCCCAGGCGACACGGCGGTGCTCCCTGACGCTCGTGTCTCTGTGCGCTCGTGCGGCAGGCGACAGCGTGGTGGTGTACAAACAGGACGGTGATCTGCGCGTGGCCATACCGCGTCGCGAGCAGACGCCCGAGGAGATGCAGAAGACCAAGCACTTCGCCACGGAGGTACGCGCGAGGCCCAGACCCTGGTGGCTGCTCTGTTGAACGTGAAACTAGGGAGATGTGGAAATCCCGACACTTGCTGTCAAACACTTGCTACAATGGAGCAAGTCTTGGTCTCCAAAAAGCATCGCCTTTCCAAGCCCCTTTTTCTCTTTTTCTGTCCTGTTTGTCTAGACAAAAGTGTTGGGAGCGCATGGCGAATAGTCATCGATTCATGGTTTGCATGGAACGGAAAACACATGGCGTCATCTCTTCGTGTGGACAGTTCAAATGACACTTGTTGCGAAGCTACACCACGATTGGACGGGAGATACGTGAACCAAACATTTTGTGTTGTGATATGCTGTGACAAGATCCAACAAAGGGTACCCGGCCTATATGTATGATTATTCTACTGGGTCAGGGCGCAGGCTTGGGAGATGCTGACTCAGCAACATGCGTTTTTGTTTTTTTTAAAGCGAGAGTAAGAAAGGCGGTCAATGCGATACTTTACTGTGGTGATATCATACCCTGACAGACCATACCATATTCTGCCGGTATCACAACATGACGATGTCATGCCCTGACGACACCATACACCGACATGCCATGCCCTGACGATGTCGTGCCCTGACGATACCACACACACTGACATATCATGCCCTGACGATGTCGTGCCCTGACGATGTCGTGCCCTGACGATGTCATGCCCTGACGATGTCATGCCCTGACGATGTCGTGCCCTGACGATGTCATGCCCTGACGATGTCATGCCCTGACGATGTCGTGCCCTGACGATGTCATGCCCTGACGATGTCGTGCCCTGACGATGTCGTGCCCTGACGATGTCGTGCCCTGACGATACCATGCCCTGACGATACCCTACACGGACATACCATGCCCTGACGATACCCTACACGGACATACCATGCCCTGACGATACCCTACACGGACATACCATGCCCTGACGATACCCTACACGGACATACCATGCCCTGACGATACCATGCCCTGACGATACCCTACACGGACATACCATGCCCTGACGATGTCATGCCCTGACGATGTCATGCCCTGACGATGTCGTGCCCTGACGATGTCATGCCCTGACGATGTCATGCCCTGACGATACCCTACACGGACATACCATGCCCTGACGATGTCATGCCCTGACGATGTCATGCCCTGACGATGTCATGCCCTGACGATGTCATGCCCTGACGATGTCGTGCCCTGACGATGTCGTGCCCTGACGATGTCATGCCCTGACGATACCATGCCCTGACGATGTCGTGCCCTGACGATGTCGTGCCCTGACGATGTCATGCCCTGACGATACCATGCCCTGACGATACCCTACACGGACATACCATGCCCTGACGATACCATGCCCTGACGATACCCTACACGGACATACCATGCCCTGACGATGTCATGCCCTGACGATGTCATGCCCCGACGATGTCGTGCCCTGACGATGTCATGCCCTGACGATGTCGTGCCCTGACGATGTCATGCCCTGACGATGCCATGCCCTGACGATGTCATGCCCTGACGATACCATGCCCTGACGATACCCTACACGGACATACCATGCCCTGACGATACCATGCCCTGACGATACCCTACACGGACATACCATGCCCTGACGATGTCGTGCCCTGACGATGTCGTGCCCTGGCGATATTATGCCCTGACGATACCCTACACGGACATACCATGCCCTGACGATGTCGTGCCCTGACGATGTCGTGCCCTGGCGATATTATGCCCTGACGATACCCTACACGGACATACCATGCCCTGACGATGCCATGCCCTGACGATGTCATGCCCTGACGATACCATGCCCTGACGATACCCTACACGGACATACCATGCCCTGACGATACCATGCCCTGACGATACCCTACACGGACATACCATGCCCTGACGATGTCGTGCCCTGACGATGTCGTGCCCTGACGATGTCGTGCCCTGGCGATATTATGCCCTGACGATACCATGCCCTGACGATGTCATGCCCTGACGATACCATGCCCTGACGATACCCTACACGGACATACCATGCCCTGACGATGTCATGCCCTGACGATGTCGTGCCCTGACGATGTCATGCCCTGACGATGTCGTGCCCTGACGATACCATGCCCTGACGATACCATGCCCTGACGATACCCTACACGGACATACCATGCCCTGACGATGTCGTGCCCTGACGATGTCGTGCCCTGACGATACCATGCCCTGACGATGTCATGCCCTGACGATGTCATGCCCTGACGATGTCGTGCCCTGACGATGTCATGCCCTGACGATACCATGCCCTGACGATGTCATGCCCTGACGATACCCTACACGGACATACCATGCCCTGACGATGTCGTGCCCTGACGATGTCATGCCCTGACGATGTCATGCCCTGACGATGTCGTGCCCTGACGATACCATGCCCTGACGATGTCGTGCCCTGACGATACCATGCCCTGACGATGTCGTGCCCTGACGATGTCATGCCCTGACGATACCATGCCCTGACGATACCCTACACGGACATACCATGCCCTGACGATGTCGTGCCCTGACGATACCATGCCCTGACGATGTCGTGCCCTGACGATGTCGTGCCCTGACGATGTCGTGCCCTGACGATACCATGCCCTGACGATACCATGCCATGACGATACCTCCTGACGATACTGCGTCCAGATGACGCAGGTGCTGATCCGTCAGGTGAAAGAGCTGCTGCGACACGTGCCGTTCTGCCAAATGCAGTTCAACAAGTTCATCCCGGCGTACCACCACCACTTCGGCCGACAGTGCCGCGTCTCCGACTACGGCTTCGGCAAGCTGGCCGAGCTGTTCGAGGCCGTGCCAGACACCGTACAGGCGAGTGTGCACCGTATCAGAGACCGTACCCTCCCGTGTCGTCCCTGAACTCCCGTGTAGACGCGCGTCTGTATTGTACAGACTGTAACCACTGGAGTCACCACGCCGCCAGGTGGTTACGTAACACCGCACGCCGCACAACGCCTTCGTGAAAAAGTCGCGTTGTGCCACCTGTATGACCTTGTGTGACCTTGACCCCCTGTGACCCGACAGGTGACCTCTGACGAGGACGGCGAGAAGCTGATCCAGCTGACGCGGACCGCTCTGCGCTCAGTGCTCTCGGACCAGCTGGTGACGCTGCTCCAGAACGCGGGGGTACGTGGCCAGCGCCCTGAACGGGGGCGATTCGTGCGACGCAGCGCTGGTGACCGCTGCACCGTGGCTGTGTGGCTGGGCTTGCTTCTGGATTGGCCGAATGATGCGGTGTTCGCATGCGTGCTGCCGGCGCCATGTTTGTGCCAGCCAGTGGCTTGGGAGCATGCTGCGTAGATCACTTTATTCCATCGCGAAATGTGTTGGCACACACAAAACGGAGCCGAATCAGTTCGGCGTTACCGCCCATGTACATGACGCGGCGTTGCTGGCTCCTGCTGCCGCGCAGGACGCGCTCCTCTGCGGCGGAGCGTGCGACCGTGCGGCTGTGCGACTGTGCGGTCCGCACGGGCCGGCGGTGCGGTGTACCCAGCTGTAGAGCGTCGGCTCCAATCGCAGGTGGAGTCGGTGGGCCTGGAGGAGCTGTGCGCCCTCTTCCTGCGCGAGTTCGGCTACCGGCTCAACCCGGCGCTGTACGGCGGCGCCACCGTCCGAGAGCTGGTGCGTGCCGTGCCGTGCTGGTGCCCGTTCCGCCACTGCTGGGCTACCGCCGTTCACCGGCGTCACCATCGTCCACCTTCGTCACTACCGTCCACCTTCATCACCGTCCACCGCCATCACCGCTGTCCACCTGTGTCACTACAGTCCACCGTCCGCCGCCCGGTCCCGTTGCAGCTGCCCGCTCACTGTCCACGGTTTGGTTCCGTCGGGGCTGTGAACAGCTCCGTATAAGGCCTCCTTCCGCACACCCTACACACGTACTCACCCAGGTGGGAGTCACCAGGGCGACTCCCACGTACCCAGGATGGAGTCGCCCTGGTTTGTTTGCCATTCGCAGGTTTTGTCCAACGCAGTAACACTTTAGAGCCAATATTTTTGTTTTTCCATATTTTTACCAGTACCATACTTCGCTGCTTCGAAAGGGCATGACTACTGCCCTTCTGCGGCCTTGATTGTCACGGAGCCGTGCGGTCGTGCCTGGAGGCTCAGGTTGCCGTGCCGCTCCACAGATGGCGCAGCTGCGCTCGGTGGTGCGGCTGGGCGGCGCTCCTGACGCGCCCCGGGTGTTCCTGGTCAACCGCCAGCACCTGCGGCAGGCCGCCGTCAACGTGCGGACCCTGCTCATGGAACAGGTACAGGTACACAGGTACAGGTACAGCGGGACATCGGTCAGCGGGGGGAGGGGGGACAGCAGCGGCAAGACATCGGTTAGCGGTCACGGGGCGTGATGCGTCTGTCGACTTACCAAAGAGCAGCTGAGTGTGGGGTCGAACTCTCTGTGCTGCGGACGGCAGTCGCCAATCGCGGCTTAAGCACGCGCTCACCGGCGCTACTGCCACCTCTGAGCAGCGCCCGCGTCAGCTGGTTAGTGGACTCCGGCCGCGTCGGTGCCTGCTCCCGCGCTATCCCTGGTGCCGGTGTCGCGTTGGTGCGGCGCGCCGCCTGCCCGGCTGGGGACCTGACCCGACTCCACGCCCGCCGCCAGCCGGGCGGCAGCATGCCGTTGGAGCAGCTGGTGGAGCAGCACGGCCGCCGGTTCCAGCGGGCGCTCAGCCTGGACGCGCTCACCGGCGACCTGCAGCACGTGGTCAAGGTACGGGAGAGGACGGGCGTGGTCCTGGTGAGGTGGACGGAGCCGCGCCCGGTCACGGGCCCGGGGAGGGTCGCGGTGTGTTAGGTGATGGTGGAGCGTGGTCGTGCCGCGGCGGGGGCGGGGGGGGGGGGGGTCGGGCGGAAGGGGTAGGGAGGCGGGCAGTGGATGGGGGCAGGTGGGTCCTGTCTTGACAGGTGTTGCCCGAGTGATGCCCTGTCGTTCTTCTCTCCTGTTCCGAATGTGTTCCCCCCAAAGGCGCAGACAGTCATCGGACGAATTGCTCATCGTTTGTGGGTGACTGAACTGGTAGCTACTGAACTAAATAACTTTTTCTGACTGAACTAGTCTGATATCCTCGTCGAAGTAGCGAAGCGCCTATCTGTGCGATGAATCACGTGGTGTTTTTTGGACGCGAACAGCTCTGGCGGCTTCCCGGGAAGAGCAGCCTCTGGCTTCTCTGCAGCTGTGCCTGCTTGGGGCCATCACTGATTGTTATCGCCTACCTCTGGTTAACAAAGGCTGTAATCACGTCACAGCAGGCGACCTGCCTTGATAATATCAGCGGAACCGTCGAGAACGTTGTTTGCCGCGCTCAGTCTGTCCCGACGCCGCGCTGTCCACACGCACGCCGCGGGCTCGCCCGACGCCACGCGGCTGGGGCGTGACCCCTCCCCTTCCCCGCCGGGGGTCGGTCCCTCCGCCGACCGTCGGCCCGCTTGCATCACCGCTCGCTCCGCTCCGCCCGCGCGGCAGGTGGAGGCCGCGTCGCCGGGCGGCGGCCGCGTCGTCTCGCTCCTGCCGATCCAGCTGTTGGCGCGTGACGTCATCCGGCTGCTGCGTCGCCATGGCAACCGTCTGCTGGTGTCTGCGTTCCACTCGGCGTACCTGGCCGAGTTTGGTGTAGCGGCGCGGCCGGCGCAGTTCGGCTTCCATAGTGCGCTGGCGCTGCTGGAGGCCATCGATGACACGGTCTTCCTGCGCGGCAGGGGTCAGTGCAGGGCGGGGATGGAGGGGGGTGGGAGGATGTCTAGGTGTGTGCCAGGGGTCAACGCAGGACTGAGTTAGGGAGATATCGGGGTGTGTGCCAGGGGTCAACGCGGGACTGAGTTAGGGAGATGTTCGGGTGTGTGCCAGGGGTCAAGGCAGAACTGAGTTAGGGAGATGTCTAAGTGTGTGCCAGGGGTCAACGCAGGGCTGAGTTGGGGAAATGTTTGGATGTGTGGCGGGGATCAATGCAGGACGGAGTTGGAGGGGGGTGTCTCGGCTGTGCCAGAGGGTTGTGCAGGACGGAGTTGAAGGGCAGTGTATCCTGCTCAGGTGTGAGGGAGGGGAGGGTTTCCTCCAAAATCACTCATCTGCCTGGATGGTGGGTCACGGTGCCGGGCAGTGGAGGGCAGGGCCATCTAACTGTGGCACATTTTATTTTGATATCTAGTTCCCCGTGGCTTCGGATAGACTTAGTGGAGAGACAAACTGATGCAGATTCCAATAGTGTGCTAAATCTGCTGCTGAACATGTCTTGTGCTTACTGGCGTTGAAGATGTTGATGATGTTGAAGATGTTGAACGTGTTGTCTGCTGGAGTTGTTGCTGAGCATGTCTTGTGCTTGCTGGCGTTGACGATGTTGAACATGTTGTGCCCGCTGGAGTTGTAGATGGTTAGCTGCATTCGGTCAGGCGTCCTTTGTTGTTCGATGCTGTGGGCATAGTTTGGTTGTGCGTATTGCCATATCTTGTCCGTCTTGATTTTGGACTTGGCACTTTTTTCCCCTGGCGGCGTTGACCGCTGACCCACGTCCGCGCCTCCGGTGCCGCAGGTGCCCAGCGCTACGTGCACCTGCTGCGGGAATTCAGCGGCGAGGGGGGCTCGGGAGACGGCCGACCGCCGGCGAAGCAGGAGGCTCGGGCGGCCGGCCGCGAGCCGCCGCCGCCGCCACCGCCGCTGCAGCCGCTAGCCGCCCTACACGGTACGCTCACGCGCTGAACCCTGCGGGGTGTAGAGGTACAACTTGCCGGGGATGTTGGCTGCCGTTTCAGTTGTTGGCGCGTGGGGATTTGTCGGCACCTGCGTTGTAGCGGGACGTTGGATGTGATGTGACATGGCGGTACCTTTTTCAGGCGAGTCGGGCGACTTTGCGCGACGGGCTCCGTCTCCGAGCATGCAGGTATGCAGCTTGCAAATTGAACACGCCCCCCCCCCCCTCCCCCTCTTGCTCCTTGCCGTGGGGGGACTGCCCACCCCGCTGGAATTATGTTGGAACCTGACACAGCCTCTGTTCAGACGCGTGTCATGTTCTAGTTCAGTGAACGGTGCCGTGGTACGGCATGCCCTGTCGCACAGTTGGGCATCAGATGTGTCGTGCTCATGCCTTGTCATCACAGTCACGCAGTGTTCTGCTGCATTCACTACCCATACCATGTGCCCGATCTGTCACTGTGATGAAGGTAGATAAGGCTGGCTGGGCACGGGCCGGTGTCTTTTCGCGCCTCGCGCTGCATGTTCTCCTCCCTGGCCCTCTGTAGCCGCTCCGGGTCTCCGAACACTCCCCCTCCCCTCGATATCTCTATCGATCCCTCCGCGTCGATTCCTCCCCTTGACCCCTCGATCCCTCCACCTCGATCCCTCCACCTCGATCCCTCCACCTTGACCCTCTCGATCCCTCCGCCTCGACCCCTCCCCCTTGTTCCCCTCGATCCCTCAGCCTCGATCCCTCCTCTCGATCCTTCCGCCTCAATTTCTCCGCCTCGATCCCTCTCCCTGGATCCCTTTCCCTTGATCCCTCTCCCTCAATCCCTCCTCGATCCCTCCCTTTCCATCCCTCCGCCTCGATCCCTCCTTCTCAGTCCGACCATTCCTGCGGGCTGCATGTGCGTCGTGTGCCTCATCTATGCAGGCTCGCAGCACCTCCGCTGCGCGGCTGTGGGGGCGGGGCGCGATCCGTCTCTGCGGAGCAGGATGGCGTGCGCCCAGCGGTGGCCTAGGGTGCTCCTATGCGAGATGTCGTTTGATCAGCCGGTGTGGGGAGGGGGGAGGGGGGGGGGACGGGCGCGCGATGATCACGGGGCGGAGGAATGGCAGCCGTCGCTCGTGGTGCTCGCTCCGGCCGCGCCGATCGAGGCTCCGCTCGACACGTGCGGCGCACGCGACGCCCATACCGGGAGAGGATGCTCTCGCTCACGGGCGGCGCTCGCGAGCGGCGGGCGGAATGATTAGCGGGCGTGAAGTGCACCGGCTCGTATTTCAGCTTTGGGTACACTTGATGGTGCAGTTATTTTTTAAATGTGCCTGGGTTTTTATGAGCTTTTTTCATTTTGGCAGTTTTCGCAGCTTCTACAGTGCCTGCAGTGTCTGTGGTAACTCATGGATGCGTGGGTGAACATATTGCAACAAGTATCAGATATGGTGAAATAAGCCCACTCATAGCTTTTGGTGAACTTGTAAGTGGAAGAGGCCGTTTTAGACAGTATAATTTCTGGATTTAGTAAATATGATCCTCAATACGTCATTGCTTGAGTGCGTCATTCCACCTCACACAAAATTGATCGGAAGCCGGTTGACGGCCGTTATATTTTGAAATCGTGTTCAGGAACGCCAGATAGGAACGAATCGTCAATGTATTTCCTTGGCCTAGGATTTGAATGGCATTGACGTTGCGACATGGATGCTTGGATGACCTTGAAATGGTCCGCACGAAATAGTTCTTATACTCGCGGGTTTGTAGCTTAGAAACTAGAGGGGCTTAGGCCTCAAGAAAATAGGGCTGTGAATTGCATCGAGTGATCTTCAAGATGGCTGTTTCAGCTCAAAACCCCATACAAATGTGGAACATTTCCTATTTAAGTTTGCTTAGTTTTAGAGCGTCTTTTAGGTGCCCCTCCCCACCCTCGTCCACCTTGTAGGGCGAAGGTGGTTAAAACTCGTGTAGGTTGAGCGCTGGCGCTGGTTATTTTGTTTTCATTCAAAGAAATGTGGTGCCTTTGGTTGTCGCGGCCGGTGATTTTTAGCCCCACTGGTCTGTGGTTGAATCTACTGTCGGTAACCGCTCAGTCAGTCAGATCAGTGGTCGAAGCCCGGCTGCGCTGTATACAACAGGGTCATGTTTGCAACGGCAACTAGTGTTTTTTACGACCCGCGCCACAAATTTATGAAAAACAGGACAGTAACTTTGTGGCGGCAGTGCAGGAAGTCCTGGCAAATAGAACACGATGATTTTTTCTGAGGCGAAATTTTGGCAAACCCGCTTGAACGAAACACAATAAACCTTGAACTTCATACGAAATTCTCGGCTCGGCCTCACGCCCAGCTTCTGATGGCCAGCCTCACTGTCGCTGGACGTGCCGGCCGCTTCCAACGAGCCGCGGGAGAGGGCGGTGCGAACAGGCTTTGTAGCAGATCTCGGCGCACTGGTTGTATATCACCACTGGCCGCTCGACAGGTGACGCGGAATAAAGCGCTGTCAGCCCCGGTCCCGGGCGCCGAGTGCGCTGCTGCGCTCCCTCCTGAGCTCGCCCGGCAGGGAGGGTGTCTGTCCGTCTGTCGCTCTGTCCGTCCGCGCTCGCTGGCTGGCTTGTCGCCGCGGCGCTGAGCGGCGCGCGCCGCGTCGTGCCGTGCCGCCGCCAGGTGTACACCGGCCAGCTGGTGACATGGTGCCGCGCCTGGGTGACCGGGCCGCCGCCGCCGCCGCTGCCGCCGCCGCCGGCCGGCGCGCGCGGCTGGTTC